TTTTTGGCACTCTGAAATAATCCACACATACTGAAATCAGTGGCAGGATGATAGTTCTGCCAAGGCACACAATTAATCCAAAGTCTGGTCCTTAAGCTGTCTATGTTCTCTCTCTATCTTTAAAAAAAACCATTAGCAGTATGTATGAAGTACTAAAAGCATGAAGAAATGCAAAAAAAGAGGCTTCTAATTATTTTTGTATTTCTGCATAGTTTAATAATCCACACATACTGAAATCAGTGGCAGGATGATAGTTCTGCCAAGGCACACAATTAATCCAAAGTCTGGTCCTTAAGCTGTCTATGTTCTCTCTCTATCTTTAAAAAAAACCATTAGCAGTATGTATGAAGTACTAAAAGCATGAAGAAATGCAAAAAAAGAGGCTTCTAATTATTTTTGTATTTCTGCATAGTTTAATGGAATAGCATATTATTCATGTCTGCCACAGTAATTAAGTTATGGACATGTGAAATGGTCATAGTGATGTAAACATGGTTTACACTTGCTGGAACCTAGAGGAACAGTATCTCTTATTTCATGTTCAAATGAGATGCCACAATGAAGAGTGCTAAAATTCTATGAGTAATATTCATCAGAGGCTATATATAATTTGAGCCTGTGTCATGCATCGAGCATGCTTCACATGGTGGTTGGGTATACTAGAATGTGCTTGTAAATCGTGTCCCAAATGTGGTGTGAAAGCAGGTATATTTAAAATAAATGAGTAATTATGTACCGATTTAACACAGAGCTGCAAATGGTCAACAGGCTACTGTACATTGAGCTAATGTGCATATTGTGATTGCTATCTGTAGTTTTCTCTAACATGCTTCTTTTCTTTGCAGCAGTCCATTGTACCAGCCCACCCAATGGCTCCTCCTAGTCCCAGCACCACCAGCAGTAATAACAACAGTAGTAGCAACAGCAACTCAGGATGGGATCAATTAAGTAAAACAAACCTTTACATCAGAGCACTGCCTCCAAACACCACTGATCAGGACCTGGTAAAATTATGCCAACCGTAAGTACTAAAGTTTATGAAGTGGAATTGGAATGAGTGTTTGGATTATGGGGGAAGAAAATCAGATTTGTAAATAAAAATCCTCATACTATAGTACGATGGCAAGTTTCAACTTCCTTGTCAATCAGAAGGAAAAGAATGTGTTCGTCACTGTGGAGAAGCAAAGAAAGTTAAATATAGTGGTGAACAGAAGCAACCCATTGGTTTAATAAAACTATAATCACCCATACTGCTGCCTGATGGTGTTGAAATCACAGATAAATGAAAATTAACACCTGAATGTGAAACATGCTATCAAGAACCTGCAGCAGAGGGTCTCCTCTGTTCACTGCTAAGATAATCTGCTGATACAAACTCCTCAAGTAATTGTTCTCCATCACTGTATGTTACAGTGTGCATCTGCATGCTTATCTTAGTTTCAGACCAATTTGTTGGCTGTACATTACTGCATAATTATGTTTATGGTTAGAAATGGTTGATCTGGGTTATAATCCTTTCTCGTGGCTGGAGTTGTGAGTAGACTTGGCTTAACAGAGGGTTTTCAGGCAATGTTGTTAACATGAGATTTTTCTTGTTTGTGAGGTTTTTGGTTTTGTTTTATTAATTTTTACAGCAGCACATGCCTTTTAGTTACTTTAAAATGTGGGTCAGAAATCAAGAGACTTGCAGTTACATTGTTTATACACTGTTTAAAATCACCTTAAATATTTTACTGAATTCTTAAAATCTTCAGTACTTCCACAATTCACAGTTCACTTTCTGGGTTATTTTGGAATCAAGAATACTTAGCTAAATTTTCAATACTACCTGTAAGTAAACACCTGTCGTGGTTTAAGCCCAGCCGGCAACTTGGAACCACGCAGCCGCTCGCTCACTCCCCCCCCTTTTTCTTCCTCCCCCCGCTCCCGGAGGGATGGGGAGGAGAATTGGAGGAATGTAACTCCCACGAGTTGAGATAACAGCTCTCCAGTAACTAAGGTATAATACAAACCACTACTGCTACCAATAATAATGATAAGAGGAATAACAAGGGAAAAGGACACAACCGCTCACCACCCGCCGACCGATACCCAGCCCGACCCGAGCAGCGATCTGGGCCTTCCGGGTAACTCCCCCCAGTTTCTATACTGGGCATGACGTGCTGTGGTATGGAATACCCCTTTGGCCAGTTTGGGTCAGGTGTCCTGTCTCTGCTTCCTCCTGGCTTCCCCTCCTCTCTGGCAAAGCATGAGACTGAGAAAGTCCTTGGTCAGAGTAAACATTACTTAGCAACAACTAAAAACATCGGTGTTATCAGCATTGTTCCCAGACTGAAAGTCAAAAACACAGCACTGCACCAGCTACTAAGAAGGCGAAAAAATGACTGCTGTAGCTGAACCCAGGACAACACCCTATGTGTCTTGAATGAATAGTGAATCATTAAGATTTGTATGTAACACTGCTGTCTGAGATTTCTCAAAGTAATTTAGTGTTCAATTTAGTGTGTCAGTAACTAGGACTATACAAAAATACATGCCGAAGACCACAATGCAAGTTAGTAAAATAGCTAAGGAAAACCTGTAAGTCTTGAATCTCAGCTTAGATGAAGTGACTTTGTTTTTGAATGTTGCAAAACAACCTCATATGTAATTTATAGAGAAAATTCCTCCCCCCCCCCCTTTTTAAACAAAACTTGGATTTTCAGAATACTAGGCACATATCAGTCATCTAAGTAATGTAATAAAAACAACTTGCTCTCAGGTCTTTAAAGAAAAAAATTTTCCATTTGGTCATTTTCCCAGGAGCAAATGAAACCCATGTGTTTTACAGAGAAGAGGACAGATTATCAATCTGAAAAGATTCATTAATAAATTAAACACTTTTACAGCTTCCTCAGTGAGCTCTTCACTTGCATTTTAGTGGCAAACGCATGTTTTACAGAAGTGGATTTTTCCATCCCATTTTTGTTTTTCAAGCTGATGAAGAAACTTTGGCCTGTGTACTCATGTTACGCTAGGACAGAGTTGTGAGGTTATTTTGCACTGGAGCCGCCCAGTAACTACTATTTGTGCAGTGGTTACTATAGCTTCTTAATCTCTTTCTGAAGACATTTTGGTTTGCACAGTCTTAGAGGTTATTGATGCATGTATGTTCTAGAAAAAGTATGTTTGATACTTTGCTGTAACTGGTCCTTTTCCTCTTGGATAGCCACACATCCCGATTTTTTTGTTGATGTTCAATATATAGTTGTAGTTGGACAGCATGAATTTTGCAAGTAAATGCAAGAACCGCAGCCATGGAGTTATTAAATCAGTTCTGATGTGAATTTACAGACTTGGAAGGCTGTGGCATTTCTTCCTGTGAGATATTTCTCTCCTAAATGTCTTACTTGGGAGGAAAGGAGGCCCTGTCTCAAAGTTCTCCATTTCCTCTGAGGAGCCAAGTGAGATGTCCAGAAATTTTAGCCTTGGAACATCTTTCAAAAGTCTGGGCAATCTATTAAGAGCCTTTAGGCTTCTTTTCCAGCATAGGCCTTTAGCAACTAACTTGATGCTGCAGTAATGTAGAAATGACAACACACTCTCCTTGTTCACAGAAGGTCAGTAATCCACTTTTATAAACTATGGAAAGTTTCAGATGCAAAATGTTTCCTTCCTACAAATCTGCCTAAACTTCTAAGACATAGAGGATAAGATATTCTTGAAAGTGAACCTGCTACATTCATTGTTGAAGCTGAGACAACACAAAATAAGTGGAGAATAAAATCTTGGACACATAGAACTCAGTGTAGAAACTGCTGTTTACTCCAAATCTGGAATATTTTCATTAGCTCTGTCCAAATGCCCAAGACTTTACTGGGAGGCCTTAGAGTACTTTTAGCTCCTTTTACCCATATGGAGTGGATCTTTCTATCCTAAGAAGGTATCCACTGGAGTGCTTGATGCTAAGAATGGGTAGGAAGACTGCTGTACATACTGTAGAGATTATCTTGCTAGCTGGCAATAACCAGTTTTCAGTGGATGTACAGAAAAAGGTTACTGGCTTTTGTTTTACATCTTTTGGCTGTTGTCAGACAAGGCAGAAAACCACCCGTGGGTTCAGGAAATAATTAAAAAACACCATTGTCACTACAAATGCCAGAAACATCCCATCTCTTCAGATTTTCCCTCTGATCGTTGTGGACTTGTATCATATATGCTGTACTGGAAAGTTATTTTCAGTGATGGCTATTATAAAGAAATACTGCTTTCAATATAATCATCAGAATACAAGGTAGAATTATCCACAGAGTTCTTGTGTGGAGGCCTGGTTATACAGTGGCTTCGATTTGCTTAGTCAGTGTGTTTCCTTTAACTCATGCTCACGACAGCTAGTCATGCTAATTTTGGCCTTGTTTTTATTTTGAGTAATTATTTTTGGTGAATCACTAGAGAAACCTCTTATCAAATTATAGACGTGTTGGGCTTGCTTTCCTTTTACGGCACAGCTGTGCAGTATTTATGAACACAGTTAGCAAATGTTCACCAGTTTAGTGGAAAAGTACTTTCCTGGCAAGAGCACAATTTGCCAGTGTGCGTCTCTACGGATCTGCTCTCCACCTTCATCTGCTTAGTTGTTTCTAGTTTTTCTATTAGATGAAGCTTTCTCCCCTTTTCCAAGATGAAAGGGTGTATTATAATTTTGTTGTGAAGGCTTACCTGGGAGTACAGCTATTTTCTGACAGTACTATTGGCTTTTGTGTGGGAAATGAAGCTGCCGCATTTTTGAATAGTTCATTCAAACACGAGCCTGCTACTCCAGTTTTGTGTTGCGAAAGCAAAATTCTTCGTATCGGTTGTGCCAGAGGCAGAAGTGTTGGGAAGAATAAGGTAGGTATTATGTTTGTCACATAATAAAGATGTCGGAACAGCCAACCCAAAATGAGCGTTGGGGGGACACCACTCTGAGTCATTCGTGGGCATAAGAGCTTTTCATCAGGTATGTAAGGGTAGGCAAAGCAGTTGATGCAATGTCCTGCTGATACTATCTTTTCTGTGGGAGGCTGGGCAGGAGTGATCAGCTAAATTGAAGGACAAGAGCAGAGGAAAGAAGAAATTAGAGTTAAGAGCCGATGAGCATGGTTTGGGGAAGCCTGCAAGAAGTTGCCTGACTGCTGTGCAGTTTCGTTTCCCAAACCACATAGTGCTATTGCATGAGATCTGTACCGAGCAAACCTCGGTCATGAAGAGCTGGTTTTACAGGGTTGGAGGAACAGTTGTGGCTGCAGCCATGCCTAATTTTACTCCCTTCCCCTGGCGTGGCTATCGGTACTTTCTTGATGTGCCCCCTTCAGCTGTGGCATTGGATTTATGAATACGTTATTTAGGCTTTAATGCTACTTTCTTATTTCGTGGCTGTTACAGTAATTTTTTGTAGCTTATTTAGTATCTGGATCTGAAGAGGCAAGATTAAATCCATGCCAGCTATTCACTGAAATTGTTGAGATTGCTTACGTGATTAGGGACTTACGTGATTAGGGACTTACATGATTGGGTCTTGGAAGATTCAGCCAGGAGTTTGTAACTTGTTTTGACATGTTTTCTAGGCTCTTTCCAGACTCTCACTTAGTGCTGTGTTTTGCTGCAGATGACCTTTATGCCCAAGCCACACAGTTCCAAAGCACTGTGCTTTCCACTGTCTTGCTATGATTTACTTGCTAGCCTGCAGCATGGCATCTCTGTAATGCTGAATTTATTCAGAGGCCTCCTTTTGTGCCATTTACATTGTTAAATGAGGATGATGCAGCAGACCCTTCATTGTTTTGACAATCCCTGGTCCCAGGGTGAGATTTCAAGCTTTGAGGCTTAACCCAGGTCTCCCCCATTCAGTTCAGCGTAAATCATCATGCCCGCCCACCCTTTGGTGTGCTCTTTTCCAGGCTGTTTGCTTGTACTTTCTTTGCTGCTTATACCAAGCTGTTTGTAGTCTCTATGATATTTTTGAAATCTGTTCTTGCTCTGGACAGTTTCACTTTGGCCTTC